TTGGGCTCTTGTAAAAGTCTGAGATCGTCTCCAAAAATCACTTGAGTGGAGACTGGAGTTGGCCGGTACACTAGCTTTTAGCTGGGAAATGCTTGTGTGTTTCCAGTATGTTAGTCACATGACTGTATTGCTGTACTTTTCTAGAGGTCTAATATAGCCTTACTTACTCCTCTTCGCTCGCTGTGGTGCATAAGTATGTATACAATATATTTTCTTTGACATTTTATCTTGAACTACAGGCAAACCAACAAAGAATGTATACTCTGTAATTATGACCACTGACGGTACTTCCCTAATTTTGGGATGGGGAGGTGGATGTCAGTAATAATAAATAATAAGTGCATATCCATCTATTAACTGTAATATAATATTATTAATTGCTTTATTATGTGTCCGCTGAAGAGGTCTGAGTCCTAAGCAGTTAAAGTGTCCGTTATCATGGATTTATATGAACTGAACCTGTTCCTCCTTTCAACTCTGTTGACCTAGATAACAAGAATGACATGGATATCATTTGGAGGCACACATACACACACGCACACACACCAAATAATCAGCAGGTTTTTACCCTGTCCGTTTTATTGGAACCTCAACATCAGATGATGTCCATTTTTGGCCTCTTGGTTTCTTGGGTTAACAATGACGCAAGTGAAGGTGTTTAATGACACTTAATCTTCTCACAATAATGTAAGACGATTCCAAAACAAATGATATTGAAGAGTAAGTGCCAAGTCAAATGTGTTTATTCGACTCGATGGGCACTACTGTACGTTCCCTCTCGTCCCTGTTCTATTGCTGAATATGTTTCTCTTGTATGGAGGTAAGTGCATTCACATCTTGCTGAAGCGAAATCTTTATCACATTGTTTTGTTTGACTCATATCTGATCTGCTTTATTTTCTGATTCTATGCAGGTCATCTTGAGCGGCTAAGACTTTCCTATTTGCTTTGGTTGATGTTACACAACAATAAGGATCAAAGTGTAATTAATAACTGGTTTCATGGGAACGGGCTGCGTTTAATACTGTTCTGAACCCCATGAATCAAGCCTGTATTCTGAGTCCTAACTATGTTTGTGTGAGGCTTAACAAGAGTCAGAAGGTTGACTAATTCCTAGCCTGAAGCTGCTCAGATCATCTTCTCCCTCCCTGGTCTGCTAACACTGTATGGCTTCGGCTACAGCACTCAATTAGTGAAATACTCATTATTTACAGATTTCACGTGCCTAAAATGAATGACACCGTTATACACCATTACCACCTATACCCTCAGAAAAAAGTGTATTACTGACAAGGTTTCGACCATTGCCTGGTCTTAATCTCTCTACATTAGATTTGTCTTATAGTCTTTTCTCCTCACCACCTGAGAAAGACGGCTTATGCACGTCACTGAGGGTTTATCATCTCTACCATCCCATAGCTTCTGGTCTCTGTCACGTAGAATGCTATAATAATCATGACATAGAGGTCTAGTGTCCTGTAGCTGACAGCAGATGTGCCCTGATGCTGAGCAGTCAGTGTCATAGCCCCCAGGAGACACAGGACAGAGAATTCATGTTGGCGTACGTCCTGTTGACTTAAAGCAGCTTTACGTTTCCTTGTGTTACTGTAATGTGATGCACAGAACGGCAACGTATGTGTAGTTACTAACATTATATGGCCATGATACAGGAGAATGGACAGAAGAGTAGCACTTTAAGGGACGTCAATGACACTAGATGGCAATGGTACAGTAGAATGGACGGAAATGTAGACTGGACGGAAGTGTGGCCACTAGCTCAAACCTGACCCTGAAACGTAATAGCTTATGGACTTGCTCGCCAACTCTATGCCCATTTTTGTCCATTAAGAGTGTCCATGAGCATCTAGTGGCTCTATCTTATGAAAGTGTACTTTGAGGAAGAGGCATAAACACAAGGCATAAATTGCAGCATTTCACAGTTTATCTGCTCTCTCCACAACCCATCACGTGGCTGTTGTGGTTACATGTTGAGGTTGGTTGCTCTCACACTCTCTGTGTTGATATCCCATTCTCTGCATATTTGCCAAAGCATGGCTAGTTCAAGCTTAAAGGCCCAATGCAGTCGTTTTTATATCAATATCAAATCATTCCTAGGTAGCAATTATGTACCTTACTGTAATAGATTTCCATTAAGGGCAAAAATAGCTTTTCAGCAAAAAAACGATTTCTCAAGCAAGAATTTTGCGAGGACTGTCTGGGAATGGTCTGAGTCAAATCAAATTTTATTTGTCACATGCGCTGAATACAACAGGTGTAGACCTTACCGTAAAATGCAATACTTACAAGCCCTTAACCAACAATGCAGAGTAGGGAGAGGAAAACTGAAAACTAGCTATTATTGGCAGAGAGGTTTGGAACTCTCTTTGTTATTGGTCAATTAACCAATTTATTGCATGGGAATGTCACCATGGAAAGCCAAAACTCCAGCCCATGCAAACCTGCTGATTAGAAGGTCCTGTGTAGATTGTATTTTCAACCAGCAACTATCAGTACATAACACTAATAAACAAATCACACCTTTACAGTGTTCAATTCATCAGCTGTTGTACAATATGATATAAGGAAAAACTGAATTTTGACTGCATTGGGCCTTGAATCACATTGAATAGGAGCCATAGACGTTTGTTGTTTTATGAAAGATGCTGCCTCAGTCAAGTTATGGGAAGGCTGCCTTCTGCTAATCACAATATTGTGTGTGCGTGTGTGTGTGCGTGCAGTTACTAACTAGAAGATCTGGGATTATTTGCGTGTTTGAACCTGAACTCATCGTTAACAGCCTTGGACCCAAGTTCAGTAGTGTTTGTTTAGCCAATTATACTTGTGTAAACTTGGAAAGCAGTAGCCTGTACCTTTCAGTAACATCTGTGTGCTAACAGGGTCATAATATGACCTCTGAACTCTGTCAGGAATCTGAGTCTGAGAACCTTCCTGCTTACATAAATGATTTCCGCTTGTTCTTAGATTACATGTAGTTTAATGACACGTACACACACACACACACACACTGTCTGACACTGACTCATGTGCGTGATGTTTTCCACATACAGATGTTCACAGTCTCATAGGTGGTCCTAAGGAAATGGAGTCATGCACAAATCCTTGATGCCAAAAGGTGGGTCTCACTTACTGTTAATCAATTTAATTCATTTTCAGAATGTATTGCTAACATTAATATTCTATAGGGTGGATACAACACAAGCACATTGAATTTATTATGAAAAACATCTGTAATTTTAAGGGGTTTAAAGATATGGCAGAACATAATATTTCAGAACTGATATGCCACTTTCATATTATGACATTTAATGGCAGGACTGAATAACTTGAACCTTCTCACAGAGAAGAAATTGCATCAACCTGGTCTCAGAGCATTTTGTATTATTCTGTATGTAAATCTGGGACACCTTATTTAGTATGATATGTTACGAATTATAATTTGTATGATATGTTACAAATTAGCAGACGCTCTTATCCAGAGCAATTAGTGTTAAGTGCCTTGCTTAAGGGCAAATCGACAGATTTTTCATCTAGTCAGCTCTGTGATTAGAACCAGCAACCTTTCGGTTACTGGCACAACGCTCTTACCCACTAAGCTACCTGCCGCCAATATGTTATGAATTTGCAAAACGTATGATATGTTACATATTCCAATGTGTTGTGGCTAACGTTAGCTAGCTGGCTAACGCTAACGTTAGCTAGGCTAGGGGTTAGGAGTTAGGTTAAAGTTAGGGTTAGGGGAAAGGTTAGCTAACATACTAAGTAGTTGCAAAGTCGCTAATTAACTAAAATACAAAAGTTGGCCGTGATGAGATTCGAACGCACAACCTTTGGGTTGCTAGACTTTCGCATTATACGCCGACCCAACTGCCCTCCTTTCGTTTTTGCCTTAAGTAACCTTCTGTCTTATGTAATCATACCAAATGTAACATAGTATACTAATATGGTGTCACTGATTGACGTATACTATGTTACGTCTAGTCTATGAGACCAGGCTGATTGCATAGGTCACTAAATAATGACAATGACAATACTGCTGTGATAAACGTTCAAAAACTGGCACCAAAGTTATAGAAATACATATACAGAGTTTGGCAAACTATCTTTCATGTTGGCAAAACTCATTCCATGACTAAGGCATTCTAAAGAGCATTCTAATTTGCAATTTGACATACTCCTCACCTGAAGAACAACACATGGGTAATGTTATTACACACATAATACTGCACTACACATTAACTCTAAAGCTATTCTGTGATACAAAACAGTCAAGTGAAGTGTATCTCTGAACAGCAAACCTTCTACAGACAAATAGTTTTGTGAGAACAGATTTTTCCTTGGTGTTGTCATGGCAGTTTGGCACATAATGACAGGCGCTATCCTACATTCCTTTCAATGAATCATAATAACTCTTCTGTACATCTCAATAATTTTAGCTTAAATACTCTAAATACTAACTCACAGTTTGCACAATGATTGAAAGAAGCTAGTGTTTAAACTGTTTAGCTACAGTGTGCAGCCTTGGCCCCTTTAGGCCATGGAGAAGCTGCTCTGCTCTTACAGCCTTGCTCCCTGACCTGTGCGAGAAGACAGGGAAAACAAACATTGATGTTTCTGGTCGAGGTAGCTTGACATCCAAGCGGAGCAGACATCCTCTCTTTCTCTCTCCCAGTTGTTCTCTCTTGTTTGTCCTTCCTCCTTCTGTCTGACTTCCCAAGAGCTTTTCAATATTGTTTAAATGTGTGTCAAATGAGTCATCCTGGGTGCCAATCTATTTCTGCTGGCACTAACACTTCCACTAACCGGATAAGTCTCTTAGGAGAGCGGAAGCTGTCTGACAAGGCATCTTGGGCAGTCTGAAAGCAGTCCCTTCAATGTATGTGTGGACAGCCCTCTGACTCACAGAAACCTCACAATAATATGAGGAGTCCTAGAGAAGCTGTTAAAATAAACAAGATTTATATGCATTTCTCCTGTACCGTCTCATTGCTTAGCAACACATGAAGAGCCTGGTCTTTCACACATGACTGAGTGGTCTTTCCTCCCATACCAGAGTGGTCCCTGGTTAGGTTTGTCACCTCTCTCCTCCCATCCTCTGTACGGCTCTGTTCTGACGAATAAGAACTTTGGGGGTCTTGGACTAAGGAAGTGCGGAAACCCAACCTGCTCTCCTGTGTGATGACAGCTTCCATCAGGCAGGTAGAGGACGGCCTGAGAGGTGCTGGACACCTCCTTCAGCTCGCGGGACACCATTGAGGGTGACTCTTGTGAAGAGATGATTGAGTGGAGCTGGTGTTCATCCATGTAGTGGCAATTGTGTGCTCCCTGTCTCTGCTGCCTCCGTGCTCCTATCTTACAGAACAGACACTTGATCTGCTCAATGAGCTTGAGGAGCACGGCCTTGCGGAGGAGGATGTAGATCCAGGGGTCCAGGATGGGGTTGAAGGAGGCGAAGCGGATCGCCCGTAGATCTGGGTTCTTCTCCAGTCTCAGCTCCACCGGAGTCTTATAAATCTGGTTCAGAAACACCTGCACCTGCAAGAGAGAGGGAATTAATGGAATTGAATAATTTTGTTTTGCCTTGCTGAATTGAATTGACGCTTATGTTTTTATACAGCTTTTGGACACCTACACCTGCAAGAGAAATTGAATTTAATCGGATTAAATTTTGCCAAAGGGGAATGTCAGGTGTGGCACTCAGTATAAACATACACAACTAACACACACACCACACACAACTAATTATGCTTATTTGTGTGTGTGTGTGTGTGCATGTGTGTGTGCGCACATGTGTGATATTTAAAAAATGAGTCATTTAGCAGACACTCTTATCCAGAGCGACTTACAATTAGTGCATTCATCTTAAGATAGCTAGGTGAGACAACAACACATCACAATCGTATCAAGTACATTTTCCCTCAAAAAAGTATTTATCAGCAAAGTCAGTGATAGTACACAAAGCAGAATAAGCAATTCCATGACTAAGGCATGAGTGACATAGACTGACCAGGTCCTGAGTGACATAGACTGACCAGGTGAATCCAGGTGAAAGCTATGATCCCTTATTGATGTCACTTGTTCAATCCACTTCATTCAGTCTAGATTTGTATTTGTATTTATTATGGATCCCCATTAGCTACTGCCTAGGCAGCAGCTACTCTTCCTGGGGTTCAGCTAAAATAAGGCAGTTATACAATTTGTAGATGAAGGGGAGGAGACAGGCTAAATAAGGATTTGTATGCCTTGAGACAATTCAGACATGGATTGTGTATATGTGTCATTCAGTGGGTGAATGGGCAAGACAAAAGATTGAAGTGCCTTTGAATGGGGTTTGGTAGTAGGTGCCAGGTGACCGGTTTGTGTAAAGAACTGCAACACTGCTGGGTTTTTCACGCTCAACAGTTTCCCGTGTGTATCAAGAATGGTCCACCACCCAAAGGACATCCAGCTTTCGACACCTTGTAGAGTCCATACCTCGACGAATTGAGGCTGTTCTGAGGACAAACGGGGCAGGTGCAATTCAATATTAGGATGGTGACCTTAATGTTTTGTACACTCAGTGTACACAGAGTGTACGAACATTAGGAACACCTTCCTAATATTGAGTTGCACCCCCTTTTGTCATCAGAACAGCCTCAATCCGTCGGGGCATGGACTACAACGTGTCGAAAGCTTTCCACAGGGATGCTTGCCCAGTCTATGTCATGGAAAGAGTAGTTGTTCCTAATGTTTTGTACACTTATTACACGACTATGTACATAAGCTATGAGAAAACCATTCTAATGGCATGTTGGGACTAACAACAATTCACGGAGGAAACAACTGACTCTTACATACATTCACAATGTGCATAAAATATAAACTCGTGCGTACATTTAAATCGTGTGCATAAAGATTTTAAAATGGTCTTTCTGTGAATAGGAACAATTTATAAAATGGTTCACAAAGTGAGAAGAGAAACTTACAACAAGTGGAATGGAGCATATAAGCACCACCGCTGAGGTGCAGATGAGTACAATCACCATCTGGATCTCTGCGCCGGCCAGATGCCCGAAGCTGCGTCTCCTTCTCGGGTCTGTGTTTCGTCCCGGGTCTATCCACAACGACATCTTCCGAACAAACCGCTGGTGCATCCGGATCAGAGCACCGCATACCAGAACGTTACAGATCACCGTGGCTAGAATTAGAATCGAACTGAATCCCGCGTACATATATGAAAAGGCGGCATCCGTACTGACGTTGCTCCGCCACTCTATGAAGCACCAGGTTTGTGGGTACTGCTTTTTGACTTGTCCCAGACCCACGCTAGGCAGAGAGCAGAAAAGCACGTTGGAGATGTAGATAGCCAGAAGCGTCAAGCCCGCCAGTCTCTGATCCACATAGTCGTTGTAGAAATACGCGTGGTTTATCGCCAAGTATCTCTCCACCGACATGGCGCATATAATGCTGAGCCCCGCTAGAGAGAAGAAAAGCATGATGAATCCAAAATACTGGCACAGTGGTTCCCCGCCTGGCCACGAGCCTTTCACATAGGTCGCGATGGTGACAGGACTGGCCAGGAGTGTCCCCAAAAGGTCTGTAACCGCCAGACCGCATACCAGCGTGTAGAACGTGGTCTCCTTCTGTTCTTTCCTGGACTTGCAGAGCACCACGATGGCAATGAGATTTCCCACCACACCGAAAATAAACATGATGGACGGTATAGTGGGGATCATGGTCCTCCCGGTCACAGTGTTGTTACTCATTTTGAAAAAATAATACAAATTCATTAGTCACATGATAGGCTATCTATCGTTCATATTTCCCAATAAAGAATACCGTAGATGCATTAGGCATGGTATCTACAAAAATGAAGCGTATCAAACATGGTTGAAATCTTCATACTGAATGTGAGCTGAACCAATATATTCACAACAGAAGTTAGAACGCCTTTAAAACAGTTGTTTCGGAGTTCAGTTGATTTTGTCCAAGTATCTGTAACCCGCCAACGTCATTGTCATATCCCCTGTCCATTGACGTTTACAAATGACTGATCCATGTTTAGGATTCATGCTCACTCGTCTACCTGTATAATCTACAGTTCACTGATAAGACTGAGTGTGTGCTTTTTAAGTTCCTCTCTGCGTGAGCACTGCCCCGCCCCCTGCTCCAGGCTTCCAGCAGCTGTCAATATATCTTAGAAGTAGTTTGCTGCTTAAACGCACAAAGGTTTAGAGTTACTCACTTTCCATTATTAAGCTATGCCCACATAACTTCCTGAATGTTCTCTGTATATATAGGCCTATCGGAGCTTGCAAGTATGTATTTCATTGGACGGTGTATACCATGTGTATCCTTTAGTAATCGTTTTTTAAATCTTTCTTTAAAAACATTTTTTTATATACATATATATATATATACACTTCTGGTCAAAAGTTTTACAATTCCTACTCTTTCAAGGGTTTTTCTTTATTTTTACAATTTTCTACATTGTAGAATAATAGTGAAGACATCACATAAGAGGTTTACATACAGTCGTGGTGAAAAGTTTTGAGAATGACACAAGTATTGGTCTTCACAAAGTTTGCTGCTTCAGTGTTTTTAGATATTTTTGTCAGATGTTACTATGGTATACTGAAGTATAATTACAAGCATTCCATAAGTGTCAAAGGCTTTTATTGACAATTACATTAAGTTTATGCAAAGAGTCAATATTTGCAGTGTTGACCCTTCTTTTTCAAGACATCTGCAATCCGCCCTGGCATGCTGACAATTAACTTCTGGGCCACATCCTGACTGATGGCAGCCCATTCTTGCATAATCAATGCTTGGAGTTTGTCAGAATTTGTGGGTTTTTGTTTGTCCACCCGCCTCTTGAGGATTGACCACAAGTTCTCAATGGGATTAAGGTCTGGGGAGTTTCCTGGCCATGGACCCAATATTTCGATGTTTTGTTCCCAGAGCCACTTAGTTATCGCTTTTGCCTTATGGCAAGGTGCTCCATCATGCTGGAAAAGGTATTGTTCGTCACCAAACTGTTCTTGGATGGCTGGGAGAAGTTGCTCTCGTAGGATGTGTTGGTACCATTCTTTATTCATGGCTGTGTTCTTAGGCAAAATTGTGAGTGAGCCCACTCCCTTGGCTGAGAAGCAACCCCACACATGAATGGTCTCAGGATGCTTTACTGTTGGCATGACACAGGACTGATGGTAGCGCTCACGTTGTCTTCTCCAGACAAGGTTTTTTCCAGATGCCCCAAACAATCGGATAGGGGATTCATCAGAGAAAATGACTTTACCCCAGTCCTCAGCAGTCCAATCCCTTTACCTTTTGCAGAATATCAGTCTGTCCCTGATGTTTTTCCCGGAGAGAAGTGGCTTCCTCGCTACCCTTCTTGACACCAGGCCGTCCTCCAAAAGTCTTCGCCTCACTGTGCGTGCAGATGCACTCACACCTGCCTGCTGCCATTCCTGAGCAAGCTCTGCACTGGTGGTGCCCCGATCCCGCAGCTGAATCAACTTTAGGAGACGGTCCTGGCACTTGCTGGACTTTCTTGGGCGCCCTGAAGCCTTCTTCACAACAATTGAACCTCTCTCCTTGAAGCTCTTGATGATCTGATAAATGGTTGATTTAGGTGCAATCTTACTAGCAGTAATATCCTTGCCTGTGAAGCCCTTTTTGTGCAAAGTAATGATGACGGCACGTGTTTCCTTGCAGGTAACCATGGTTAACAGAGGAAGAACAATGATTTCAAGCACCACCCTCCTTTTAAAGCTTCCAGTCTGTTATTCTAACTCAACCAGCATGACAGAGTGATCTCCAGCCTTGTCCTCGTCAACACTCTCACCTGTGTTAACGAGAGAATCACTGACATGATGTCAGCTGGTCCTTTTGTGGCAGGGCTGAAATGCAGTGGAGAGACTTTGCAATTAATTGCAATTAATCTGATCACTCTTCATAACATTCTGGAGTATATGCAAATTGCCATCATAAAAACTGAGGCAGCAGACTTTGTGAAAACTAATATTTGTGTCATTCTCAAAACTTTTGACCACGACTGTGGTCAAAACTACACCTTAGCCAAATACATTTAAAATCAGTTTTTCACAATTCCTGACATTTAATCCTAGTAAAAATTCCCTGTTTTAGGTCAGTTACGATCACCACTTTATTTTAAGAATGTGAAATGTCAGGATAATAGTAGAGAGAATGATTTATTTCAGCTTTTATTTCTTTCATCACATTCCCAGTTGGTCAGACGTTTACATACACTCAATTAGTATTTGGTAGCATTGCCTTTAAATTGTTTAACTTGGGTCAAATGTTTCGGGTAGCCTTCCACAAGCGTCCCACAATAAGTTGGGTGGATTTTGGCCCATTCCTCCTGACAGAGCTGGTGTAACTGAGTCAGGTTTGTAGGCCTCCTTGCTCGCACACGCTTTTTCAGTTCTGCCCACACATTTTCTATAGGATTGAGGTCAGGGCTTTGTGATGGCCACTCCAATACCTTTACTTTGTTGTCCTTAAGCCATTTTGCCACAACTTTGGAAGTATGCTTGGGGTCATTGTCCATTTGGAAGACCCATTTGCGACCAAGCTTTAACTTCCTGACTGATGTCTTGAGATGTTGCTTCAATATATCCACATAATTTTCCTTCCTCATGATGCCATCTATTTTGTGAAGTGCACCAGTCCCTCCTGCAGCAAAGCACCCCCACAGCATGATGCTGCCACCCCCGTGCTTCACGGTTGGGATGGTGTTCTTCGGCTTGCAAGCAACCCCCTTTTTCCTCCAAAAATAACGATGGTCATTATGGCCAAACAGTTCTAAAATGTTTTTCATCAGACCAGAGGACATTTCTCCAAAAAGTATGATCTTTGTCCTCATGTGCAGTTGCAAACCGTAGTCTGGCTTTTTTATGGCGGTTTTGGAGCAGTGGCTTCTTCCTTGCTGAGCGGCCTTTCAGGTTATGTCGATATAGGACTAGTTTTACTGTGGATATAGATACTTTGGTACCTGTTTCCTCCAGCATCTTCACAAGGTCCTTTGCTGTTGTTCTGGGATTGATTTGCACTTTTTGCACCAAAGTACGTTCATCTCTAGGAGACAGAACGTGTCTCCTTCCTGCGCGGTATGACGGCTGCGTGTTCCCATGGTGTTTATACTTGCATACTATTGTTTGTACAGATGAACGTGGTACCTTCAGGCATTTGAAAATTGCTCCCAAGGATGAACCAGACTTGTGAAGGTCTACCATTTTTTTTCTGAGGTCTTGGCTGATTTATTTTGATTTTCCCATGATGTCAAGCAAAGAGACACTGAGTTTGAAGGTAGGCCTTGAAATACATCCACAGATACACCTCCAATTGACTCAAATTATGTCAATTAGCCTATCAGAAGCTTCTAAAGCCATGACATCATTTTCTGGAATTTTCCAAGCTGTTTAAAGGCACAGTCAACTTAGTGTATGTAAACTTCTGACCCACTGGAATTGTGATACAGTGAATTATAAGTGAAATAATCTGTCTGTAAACAATTGTTGGAAAAATTACTTGTGTCATGCACAAAGTAGATGTCCTAACCGACTTGCCAAAACTATAGTTTGTTAACAAGACATTTGTGGAGTGGTTGAAAAACTAGTTTTAATGACTCCAACCTAAGTGTATGTAAACTTCCGACTTCAACTGTATGCTGAGCACTTGTTGGCTGCTTTTCCTTCACTCTGAGGTCCAACTCATCCCAAACCATCTCAATTTGGTTGAGGTTGGGGGATTGTGGAGGCCAGGTCATCTGATGCAGCACTCCATCACTCAACATATTGGTAAAATAGCCCTTACACAGCCTGGAGGTGTGTTGGGTCATTGTCCTGTTGAAAAACAAATGATAGTCCCACTAAGCCCAAACCAGATGGGATGGCGTATCGCTGCAGAATGCTGTGATAGCCATGCTGGTTAAGTGTGCCTTGAATTCTAAAGAAATCATTGACAGTGTAACCAGCAAAGCACCCCCATACCATGACATCTCCCCCTCCATGCTTTACGGTGGGAAATACACATGTGGAGATCATCCGTTCACCCACACCGCGTCTCACAAAGACACGGCGGTTGGAACCAAAAATCTCAAATTTGGACTCATCAAATCAAATCAAATCAAATTTTATTGGTCACATGCGCCGAAATCAACAGGTGCAGACATTACAGTGAAATGCTTACTTACAGCCCTTAACCAACAGTGCGGATGTTTCCTGTAATCCACTTTTTTATTAACCGAATCACTGGTGCTTCCTGCTTCAGTTTTTGCTTATAAGCAGGAATCAGGAGGATAGAGTTATGGTCAGATTTGCCAAATGGAGGGCGAGGGAGAGCTTTGTATGCGTCTCTGTGTGTGGAGTAAAGGTGGTCTAGAGTTTTTTTCCCTCTGGTTGCACATTTAACATGCTGGTAGAAATTAGGTAGAACGGATTTAAGTTTCCCTGCATTAAAGTCCAAAGGACAGATTTCCACCGGTCATTGCTCGTGTTTCTTGGCCCAAGCAAGTCTCTTCTTATTATTGGTGTCCTTTAGTAGTGGTTTCTTTGCAGCAATTCGACCATGAAGGTCTGATTCATGCAGTCTTCTCTGAACAGTTGATGGTGAGATGTGTCAGTTACTTGAACACTGTGAAGCATTTATTTGGGCTGCAATTTCTGAGGCTGGTAACTCTAACGAACTTATCCTCTGCAGCAGAGGTAACTCCGGATCTTCCTTTCCTGTGGCGGTCCTCAAG